GTGTCCTTCAAGTATCCTTCAGGAATCCTGCAGGTTTTTATCAGGCATCCTTCAGGTATCCAAGTATCCTTCAGGGATCCTTCAGGCATCCGTCGGGTATCCTTTAAGCATCCATCATGTATCCTTCAGGTACCCAGGTAACCTTCAGGTATTATTTAGGTATGCAGGTATCTTTCAACTAGTTCTGGAGTTACTAGTAATCTACTTGTCGGGTAGACAAGGTAGACAGCTAGTTCTGGAGTGTGGTAGTCCCCAACTGGTGTCACTGGGTGGCATGGAGTGTTGAGAAAGTACCTGACTAGGTGAGCAGTCAGTCTCTTTCTGTCTGCTGCTTCGACTGATTGTGTGTGTCTGTCTGTTGCTACGACTGGTTGTGTGTGTGCGTGTTTCTGTCTGCTGTTTCGACTGGGTGTGTGTGTGTGTGTCTGCTTGCTGCTACGACTGGATGTGTGTGTCTGTTGCTACGACTGGTGTGTGTGTGTGTCTGCTGCTTCGACTGGTTGTGTGTCTGCGTGCTGCGTCTCCTTACACTACATGCTGATGTATCTTGCCGTGTTCTTAGCTCCGACGTCTTCATCTTGGGTGTTCCGGAGGGCCTTAGACGTCTTTTGTTCAGGTTCTGAGACTTCCAGAAATGTGTCTAATTTATTGCCAGTTTCAGAGAGAGGTAGAGGGGGTCGGTCAGCCGCCAGGTGATAGCAGAAGGTAGAGGATTCCTAGATCATAGCATAGGATACGTAGATCAAGGTAGTGGATCAGTGGATGAAAGCAGAGGATGTTTAAATCAAACTTGAAACAGAGATGCTTAACCACACACACATACACACATGGGCATGACAACAAGAACTGCTACATCAGTCACAAACGAGGGAACTGTAGGGCACACGCCCCTCAAGGAAGGTTCCTTGACGTTGGTGAGGGGCTCTTGATCTAGGGAATTGGATCTGTGCTCCAGTTCCCTGAAATAAGCCTGAATACCTTCCACATCCCCCCCAGGCGCTGCATAATCCTACGGGTTTAGCGCTCCTCCTTGATTATAATAATAATCTAGGGAACACAGGAGTTATACAGTAATCGGAAGCCCTGTCAAAGCACCATGGAGCCCAGGAAAAGACATGGAGCACACCAGGAGCAAATGAGGAGACTCAAGAAAATGAAATAACTAAACTATATTCAAAGTCCCTAACAGACCACAGCTGTGCCCAGGAAAAGCTAAGAAGGGAAAATGACAGACCACTGAGCACAGCGACATCAGATAGAGAAGAGAGTGAAGGAAGGAATGCTGCAATGGAGGCAACTACATCGACTCAGGGGATGCAAAGGGAAATGCAGCGGGAGGATGAAAGGGACAGGTCAGTTTTTATTTATGGGCTCCCGGAAGCTGAAGGGGAAATTTATGAAGCAAGAAGACAGAGGAAGCAAAAAGCGATTGAAAGTATCATGAAAGCAACAGGAGAGGATGACATGATCCAGTTGGCAAATTTTCTGGGAGTAAGGGGGGTTCGCAAGAGGAAAAAATGGCCAGTCAAAGAGATTTTCAAGGCAGTGTCAGGTCGAAAGAGGATCCTGCAATAAACAGCACATCTAAGGGACATATCGACATGCCAGAGGGTGTACCTCGACTGCGACAGAAAGGCAGAAACTGAAAGAGAGGGTACAACGACACAAAGAGAAAAGAGAGGCGAAGACAGAGATAAGCAAGAGAACCCAGACTCAGGAGGAAGAGCGTATACAACCTCCCTCAGAACCACTTACAGAAGGACGTCAATGTCACTGACATGTATAGTATGCAAAGTCATGGAGAAGATTATCAGGAGAGTGGTGGAGCACCTAGAATGGAACAAGCTTATAAACGACAACCAGCACAAATTCAGAAAAGGCAAATCCTGTGTCACAAAAATACTGGAGTTTTATGACAAGGTAACGAAAATAAGACAATGGATCAGAGAGTACCTCACAGGGAAACAATAGCAAGTCATGGTACGTGACGAGGTGTCAGAGTGGGCGCCTGTGACGAGTGGGGGGATCCACAGGGGTCAATCCTAGGACCAGTGCTATTTTTAGCATAAGTGAATGATATGAGGGTAGAGATAGACTCAGAAGTATCCCTGTTTGCAGATGATGTGAAGTTAATGAGAAGAATTAAATCGGATGAGGATCGGTCTGGACTACAAAGAGACCTGGACATGCTGCAAGCCTGGTCCAGCAACTGGCTCCTCGAATTTAACCCTGCCAAATGCAAAGTCATAAAGATCGGGGAAGGGCAAAGAAGTCAGTAGACAGAGTATAGGCTAGGTAGCCAAAGACTGCAAACCTCACTCAAGGAAAAGGATCTTGGGGTGATTATAATACCGAGCACATCTCCTGAGGCACACATCAACCAGGTAACTGCTGCAGCATATGGGCACCTGGCAAACCAGAGAATAGCGTTCTGAAACTTCAGCAAGGAATCGTTCAAGACACTGTACACCGTGCATGTCACACCCATACTGAAGTATGCAGCACCAGTTTGGAACCCACAACTGGTCAAGCACATCAAGGAATTAAAGTACAAAGGTTTGCAACAAGATTAGTTCCAGAGCTAAGGGGAATGCCCTACGAAGAAAGGTTAGAAACCAGGGTTCCTGAAACCAGGGCTCCTGAACCCAGGGTTCCTGAAACCCCTGAGAGGAAGCGTCTAAAATGTTCAACATTATTCTTGCAGTAATGTCAGTGACTTTGTATAAAGCCTGGCCGTGTCATGTTTCGCTCTGTGTAGAGCTTTATCAAGTCATGTTACGCTTTATCATGTCAGGTTTTTCTCTGCATAATTTTTTCATGTCATACTTCTCTCTGTATAGAGCTTCATTCTGTCATATTTCGCTGTGTGCGAAGCTTTATCAACTGTGACGCTCTGTAGAGATTTACCAAGCCATGTTTTACTCGGAGTAGAGCTGGTTGATTAATAGGATTACCTGGAGGTTACCTGGAGGTTATTCCGGGGATCAACTCCCCCGCGGCCCGGTCCATGACCAGGCCTCCCGATGGATCAGGACCTGATCAACTAGGCTGTTACTGCTGGCCGCACGCAGTCCAACGTACGAGCCACAGCCCGGCTGGTCCGGCACTGACTTTAGGTATCTGTCCAGCTCTCTCTTGAAGGCAGCCAGGGGTTTATTGGCAATTCCCCGAATGCTTGATGGGAGGCTGTTGAACAGTCTTGGGCCCCGGACACTTATGGTGTTTTCCCTTAGTGTATCAGTGGCGCCCCTACTTTTAATTAGGGGCATTTTACATCGCCTGCCCAGTCTTTTACTTTCGTAGGGAGTGATTTCTGTGTGCAGATTTGGGACCATTCCTTCCAAGATTTTCCAAGTGTAGATTATGATATATCTCTCCCTCCTGCGTTCCAACGAGTACAAGTCAAGTGCTTCCAAGCGTTCCCAGTAGTTAAGGTGCTTGACAGAACTTATACGTGCAGTAAAGGATCTCTGTACACTCTCTAGATCTGCGATTTCACCTGCTTTGAATGAAGATGTTAGTGTACAGCAGTATTCCAGCCTAGAGAGAACAAGTGATTTGAAAAAGATCATCAATGGCTTGGCATCTCTCGTTTTGAACGTTCTCATTATCCATCCTATTATTTTCTTTGCACTTGTGATCGTGGCACTGTTGTGATCCTTGAAAGTGAGATCCTCAGACATTACTACTCCCAGGTCCCTTACATTATTTTTCCGCTCTATTGTATGGCCAGAGTCAGTAGTATACTCTGTTCTAGTTATTATCTCCTCCAGTTTTCCATAACGGAGTAGTTGGAATTTGTCCTCATTGAACATCATATTGTTTACCGTTGCCCACTGGAAAACTTTGTTTATATCATCTTGGAGGTTAACCGCGTCCTCAGCAGATGACAGCCTCATGTAGATCCTAGTATCATCTGCAAAGGATGATACGGTGCTGTGGTGTATATCTCTGTCTATGTCTGATATGAGGATGAGGAATAAGATGGGGGCGAGTACTGTGCCTTGTGGAACAGAGCTCTTCGCTATGGCAGCCTCCGATTTAACTCTGTTGACCACTATTCTTTGTGTTCGATTTGTTAGGAAGTTGAAGATCCATCTCCCCACTTTCCCAGTTATTCCTTTAGCACGTATTTTATGGGCTATTACGCCATGATCGCATTTGTCAAATGCTTTTGCAAAGTCTGTGTATATTACATCTGCATTCTGATTTTCTTCCAGTGCATCCAAGGCCATATCATAGTGATCCAGTAGCTGTGAGAGGCAGGAGAATAAAGCCTATCTACCACAAAATAATAATAATAATAATAATAATAATAATAATAATAATAATAATAATAATAATAATAATAATAATAATAATAATAATCTTTATTTCTACAAGTACATGTACAAGGTATACAGACCATAGCTGACATCAATGACATTCTACTACATAGAAAGCCCCTTGTTATGCAGAGCATTTCGGGCAAATTAGGTCAATTTTGTCCCCAGGATGCGACCCACACCAGTTGACTAACACCCAGGTACCTACCAGGTACCTTTTTTACTGCTAGGTGAGCAGGGACAGCAGGTGTCTTAAGGAAATACGTCCTAATATTTCGACCCGTACCGGGAATGGAACTACGGATTTCAGTGTGTGAGCTGAGTGCTCTAGCAATCGAGCTACGGAACACCGTACATGTCACCTGTTCAACATCAGTGAAGAATACTTTAATACCTTAAACAGAGACTAAAGAAACCTCAAGGTATATACATACACCGAGTGGCCTGCTCCTCTCCGTGTATATATCCCACAAGGCAGAAGCGAAATAGATTCCGTTACTCGCTGGAAAATAAATTAATCCAACACTACGCAGGGAATCATCCCGTTAGGTATTATGTATTTCCTCTGTTGTTCCTCGTGGTAAAAATTTTTTTTACGAAATGATTATCTGTGTTGTTGAGATTGTTTATTGGATCAGTGCTTCCATCTGCTGGTGGAACTGTGTTTATTTTACTGATTTTTTCTGTTTATTTTGTATGTTGGACTGAAGACACTCGTAGCTGTGGAGAAGGTTTATTTGTATGTAGTTTAGGTTGTAGTTGTTGGACTTGTTATAAAGTGGTGTGTCGTTCCTGCCGTTGATTTGTGTTCCTTAGTGGATGGGAAATCCGTCGCTCCTTTCAAGACTCAAGTGTGGCCACTAATGAGCCAAATGTGGCCAATAATGACCCAAGTGTGGCCACTTACCAACCAAGTGTGGCCACTAATGAGCCAAGTGTGGTCACTAATGAGCCAAGTGTGGTCACTAATGAGCCAAGTGAGGCCAATAATGACCCAAGTGTGGCCACTTACGAACCAAGTGTGGCCACTAATGAGCCAAGTGTTGCCACTAATGTCCCAAGTGTGGCCACTAATGACCCAAGTGTGGCGAATTGTCCTGCATACCAGCATACCGCGAATCGTTCAGAATACCATTATAACATAACAAGCATAGACCCTTGCTCTACAAATATATACTAACATAATACTCATTGCCTAACGTAGAGCAAAAACACATGGTAAACACACCCAGTAGTTTACCCGGTGGAGAAGGTCCACTCATATATTTGTCAAATCTCTTTTTACAGCTACCCGAGGTCCTAGCCTCTATCACCCTACTCGGAAGATTGTCACACGGAGGTTCAGATCCAACCTACCCAGCAGTCTCCACCTGACTCTATCCTATAAATACTCACGTACCTTTCACCCAGGAAGATCTGTTTGTGACTTGATAAAGTCCACTGTGTGGACGAAACATTGTCAATAAATAATCACACTATACTGCTTCTTTGTTTATTCTTCCATTGTGTCGGTATTTTATACCATTTATTTCCATGGTGGTGTCTGTGTGATGGTATATCTGAAGAGTCGATACGAATGGCCTCTTGTCTGTGTCTTTCCAGTGGCTGTTGGAACACAGAAAAGTGATAAACAAACGCTCGTCAGCTAAAGCAGACTTTCATTAGTACGACGTTTCACTCATAGGAAGGCAAAACGTTGAAATAATGAATGTCTCGTTTTGCCATACGTCAACCAGAGAACTGTAGGTTCACTGTGAATCCACAGGAAGAACGAATGTAGTAGTGTAGATGTTTAAATTCTTGAGTGCTTGGAGACCGTCATTGGGAACGTGAGATTGGCTAGGGGTACGAACCGCTAAATGCTACCCTGGAACTGCGTGTAGGTGACCGTGTGGTTTACAACGAAGCTAATCTCCAGGTCGTCGGTATCGGTGTCCTTTCAACTGCTTCTGGAGCTCACAGTCGGGAAGACGCTGCCGGGCATGAACCTATGATGAACACTGGCAGTGGCCCTTACACTGAGAATGTGTTCGTGGCCACTACACTGAGAATGTGTTCGTGGCCACTACACTGAGAATGTGTTCGTGGTCACTACACTGAGAATGTGTTCGTGGCCACTACACTGAGAATGTGTTCGTGGCCACTACACTGAGAATGTGTTCGTGGCCACTACACTGAGAATGTGTTCGTGGCCACTACACTGAGAATGTGTTCGTGGTCACTACATGAGAATGTTTCGTGCCACTACACTGAGAATGTGTTCGTGGCCACTACACTGAGAATGTGTTCGTGGCCACTACTCAGAGAATGTGTCCATGACCATTACTCTGAGAATGTGTTCTTGGTCACCATATTAACAATGTATTCATGACACTACAGTGACCTGCTTTCTAATACCGTGTCAAAGAGGTCACCAGTTTCTGGAAAACCCTTTGACACACTCTAGATAAGGCATATCCAACCAGCATTACATTATTTAAGTTTCCCCTTTTTAAACTGTTTGTAGTTATGTATGAATGTGTTTTGCTGTTTGACAAGAGCGAGGAAAAACATAAAATACTGTGTTTATGTTCGCAACACTAATCTCAGAGTGACGAACCTTGTGTAAACACTGACTAGAGTCATTCTGAAGGTTCTGCCTAGGAACATTTAATATATATTGTAATATACGAGCATGTTAAGAGCGGAAAGTGCTTTTCAGTTAGTAATTTGTAGTGTTAAACACTTTTAGAGATGTGTGAAACACTGAAATCAAGATCCACAAGTTATCGTTCAATTTGCATTGTTCAAGTTTGAATCGAAGGTTTTTGGACGGGAGTGAAGAGGTTTGGGAACGTGACTGACACTTGTTGTATGTGTCAACAGTGTGTAGGTGGGTGGCTAGTGGTAGGCCCATGGTGGTAGAGCTGGTAGCACCACCATCGCTGCTGTTCCACCATAGCTGCCATCACTACGTCTACAGTTATATATATCATCGTTACTGCTACCACCGCCACTATAATTATCATCTGTACGACTACCACCGCCACTCTAACTACCATCATTAGTAGTGCTACTATTATCACTACTACTATTTAGGCTATTGCAATATCAATGCTTGTGGGATTTTTCTAATGTAGCTCTGGGCACTGGTGTGCCTGGGGGCACTTCCTGTACCCTTCTGTCTCTCTCTCTGAGTCACTGTGCGTTGTGCACTTCTCGTGTGCATACGCTGCGGTGATATGCAGTGATAATGTGCTGTGATGTGCAGTGATAATGTACTGTGATGTGAAGCGATAGTGTACTGTGGTGATGTGCAGTAATAATGTGCTGCGGTGATTTGTATACAAAATTTCGTAAGCGATGTAACCCACAGCACCGTATCATCCTTTGCAGACGTCCCGGATCTGCTGGGTGCCATCTTTGGGCGCGGAAAACCCAAAAAAGTATAACAAGTTTTCCAGGGGCAACAGAAAACAATATGTGTTAAATGAGACAAATTAAAATTATTCCTTATGGAAAATGGAGAGTAATAACTAGAACTTGTGTATACTACAAACTTAATCATACAATAGCCGAAAAAGTATGTGAGGGACCTGGGAGTAGTATGTCTGAAGATTCACTTTCAAGGATCAAACGTGCCGATCTCAGTGCAAAGAAATGTGAGGAGGATAATGAGACATTCAAAACAAGAGATGCCAAGCCGTGGACGACCTTTTCAATCACTTGTTTCTCTAGGCTGGAATACTGCATTTCTAAATTTCCCTCCAAGCACGATCATCTTGATAGAATACAGGAACCTTTACTGCCATTATTAACGCTATCATACACCGTAATACTGGAAAACGCTTGGAGGCACTAGACTTTACTTACTGGAATGCATGCAAAGAAGATAATTTATGTCTTATCATTTGGAAAATCTAGAAGGGAATGGTCCTCGAAATCTTCTGCAAATGTAATGTGCACTCGGACCTCGGGATATAAGCTGAAATGCTGGGCATGTGCAGTGCAAAATAGTCCCGTCAGTGAAAAAGTAGGGGATTCAATAGTACTCTAAGAGAAACGCAAATATGTCCAAGCGGTACCCAAGCACTGTTCATCTAGCTAATACTCACATTGCATCTAAGAGGAACGCGGTAACCTACCAATAAACCCTATCAACCTTAATATGGAGCTGGACAGAATCGATGACGTTCAAGAGGACAAATGTAATTTTGTACGTTGGAATTACTAGGAGAGTAATAACAGAATGGTTCACTCAAGGCCTGATGTCACAGTAGGCCATGAAAAGTATGGACTGGGACCGGGGAGAGCAAGTTGAGTCCCGTTTCAAATCCCACCAGTGCAGATCCAGATAAACTCCATGATGTGATAATGAGCTAAAACTGTGATGTGCAGTGACATGTATTATACTGTTGCTTCGTAGGCAGTGATATGCTGCTTCATACATCCCTGTCTAATGGCTGTATGTGCAGGGTGATGAATGTCGCCTTTACTGGCATGTAATGCGCATATACTCGTGATAAGCTGAGATTGGCATGTATTAATGACTGTTAAGGCTGTGATGTAGCGGTGGATAATGTGCTGTGAATGTCAGTAATTTGCAGTGAAATGTTCTCGTATAAGCTGTGGTGTGTGCAGTGATAATGCTGTGGTGACGTGCACTAGTGTACACTGAGGAAGCATAGTAGAAACGTTGCTACAGTGAGGGGAAATATAAGCCTGAGTTGTCAATGCTGAGATCAAAGTCTGGTATGGTAGACTGTGTTTAGTGAACGTTACGCGCACGTGATAACACCAGGATCATGTCAGGCATAGAGTCACAGTGACCAGTCCGCTGATCATTGGATGGGCACTGTTGAATCCCCAGTGTATATACCCAGGATCATGTATGGCATAGTGTATATACCACCAGCGATCATGTATGGCATAGTGTATATACCACCAGCGATCATGTATGGCATATAGTGTATATACCACCAGCGATCATGTATGGCACTGTGTATATACCACCAGCGATTCATGTGTATGGCACTAGTGTATATACCACCAGCGATCATGTATGGCACTAGTGTATATCCACTCAGCGTATTCAGGTGATATGGCACTAGTGTATATACCACCAGCGATCATGTATGGCATAGTTGTATATACCCCAGCGATCTGTATGGCACTAGTGTATATCCACAGCGATCATGTATGGCACTAGTGTATATACCACCGCGACTGTTGGCACTAGTGTATATTACCTTACAGCGACATGTATGGCACTAGTGTATATACCACCAGCGATCATGTATGGCACTAGTGTATATACCACCAGCGATCATGTATGGCACTAGTGTATATACCACCAGCGATCATGTATGGCACTAGTGTATATACACCAGCGATCATGTATGGCACTAGTGTATATACCACCAGCGATCATGTATGGCACTAGTGTATATACCACCAGCGATCATGTATGGCACTAGTGTATATACCACCAGCGATCATGTATGGCACTAGTGTATATACCACCAGCGATCATGTATGGCACTAGTGTATATACCACCAGCGATCATGTATGGCACTAGTGTATATACACCAGCGATCCATGTATGGCACTAGTGTATATACCACCAGCGATCATGTATGGCACTAGTGTATATACCACCAGCGATCATGTATGGCACTAGTGTATATACACCAGCGATCATGTATGGCACTAGTGTATATACCACCAGCGATCATGTATGGCACTAGTGTATTATACCACCAGCGATCATGTATGGCACTAGTGTATATACCACCAGCGATCATGTATGGCACTAGTGTATATACCACCAGCGATCATGTATGGCACTAGTGTATATACCACCAGCGATCATGTATGGCACTAGTGTATATACCACCAGCGATCATGTATGGCACTAGTGTATATACCACCAGCGTCATGTATGGCACTAGTGTATATTTACCACCAGCGATCATGTATGGCACTAGTGTATTACCACCAGCGATCATGTATGGCACTAGTGTATTATACCACCAGCGATCATGTATGGCACTAGTGTATATACCACCAGCGATCATGTATGGCACTAGTGTATATACCACC